TTAAGGTGGCCATATTCCTGGCCGAGAAATAGTGAAATTTCTGGCGTTTTTAGGTACTGAAATCTTTAAAAGTAAAACGTGTAGAACAAAAGTAAGCACAAAAATAAAATCCTTGATGTTTTGTTTATTCATTGTTACCATTTAAATTTACTCAAATAAAATAATAACTAAAAAAAAGCGTTTGTAGAACATGCGTTTGCTGTTATTCTAACCCCACATTTTAAGAATTATTTTCACGTACTTATAAATAAAAGTAAACAATTTTATATGTAGGACTAAGCAAGTAAATGTTATAAGAATATTTACATGTGGAATTATATATAAAAAAGTTAGTATTTTCGTAGATTTCAGTACCTAAAACCTTGATGGTTTTATCGTTTTTTGCACCTGTTTATTCGTTTTACTGCGGCGTCTTTGAAAATACTCAGGTAGCATGACATAACATTCCTATTATGTGATAAGCTTTAGATTATTCAGTTATTAAATGTTTGAAATTATTTGTCTTTGCGGAAAACACTATTTAAAGCATTTCTGATCGAGGGATGTTTCTATAGTTTAGACGAATTTTACTCTGAATGTATTTAATTTGATTTGTTGATTGTTCTGTGTAAGTTTGTGCTTATTGTTATTTTTTCTATTGACGGATCCTATATAAATGTAAATGTTTATCTACAGGAATAAAATGCTTATCTATCTATCTATCTATCTATCTATCTAAAGAATATGGGGCCCTTCATGTAGAATCACCCCTAGAATTATTCGAACGGTATTTCCGGACACCCTGTATACTGAGAGTGAAAAAAGGTACGTGTGTATTTGCTTACCACTTATCACATTGTTATATTCAACATTTAGAAGGAAAAATGGACAGGGTCTTATCATTATATTAGAACATCACGTAGGTAACAGGTATCAATTTCACTTTTGCAGGCAAAAGATAAAAGTGATACCAACGTTACTGTAATATTAAAATTGTTTCTCACAGCGATGAGAAATAATTTTAATTTAATACCGCGCGACGTTACTTATACGCAAGGATGTACCAGACGCCCTCTTGTACCCGGAAGAAAACATATTTCATTCACTGTTATTACTAAATTTAAGACAGTTTTTTATATTATATTTTTATCTCTTTTCTGTCTCAACAAATCTTGTATACAACTCAGGTCTATCTGTCTCTTTTATATTTTTAGTACACGAGTATAAAAATAGTTAGGCAACACAAATTGACAACCATGAAAATGAAAACTAGCATCTGTTTTTGCATTCCCTATGTTTTTATTTAAAATTTCTATATATTATTACACAAAAATGAATATCATGAACTTAATTCTTAAAATATAATTGCAACCACAAAACATATGTTTTTATTTAAAATTTCTATATATTATTACACAAAAATGAATATCATGAACTTAATTCTTAAAATATAATTGGAACCACAAAACATATAATACAATTGTAACTGCCATTTGTAATGGTTGAACAATTTCCGGGTTGCTGCTACGTCGTCGGTTTATAGATTAAGTCCTCTGGCTAGTATTTATATTAATTTATATAGGTCCATGTCCTTCCAGTGCTTGACTTGAAGTCATTGATCTAAGACGATATGGGCCTTGATTTTTACGTATGAGCAGCTTTAGACCTTCATCTCGGTAGAAATTATTTCAATTCTGTATTTCTATTGCTTCTCCATAGAGCTTTGGCAAAAACAAATATACTTGCCTTCACTAGAATTTTAGTACCTACTATTTAGGTATATTGTTTGTGTTCCTAACATCATGCTAATGTCTTCCTATGCCATATTCATCATTGGAGTATATCACTGAAATTGTTCAATTATGGAAGCCAACAAACCTACTAGCATTTTTATAACATTACATTAACTTGTTTTAGTTATTTACATAGCTCTTCATTTTCAAATGAAATACAATGTTAGAAGCACTTCAAAAGGTTTTAATATATTATTTATTGGTAGACACATCATAAAATTGTTCAGAAATCTGATATATTTACTTTTTGTGCAAATGAGAATACAATAATTTCAAGTATATCGGAAATTGTGTAACTGTTGTAGATATTACTGTATAGAATGTATAAACCGAGCAATAGAATCATTGCTTGTGACTAACCCATTTCCATGGGCGTCGTGTGGGAGGGGGAGGAAAGGCAGTTGTCCCATAGATGTTCAGCAACTAAAGATATAGTGAATTAGGAAAGTTTATTATTTTGTTAAAGGTTTATGTTAAAAGTTTGAATAAAATGTTATACAAAGTACATTTTCTTATTACCAAAGTCATTTAACATTCTCAGGTCGACCTGTCACGGCGCTTTTGGCTCTTAGAAAGTTATATAATTTAGGTTAAATTAAACACAAACGAAATTACAACTGTACCGCAGGGAGTCGTTAATCCAGAGTAATCGTTAATTTTTATTTTTTGTTTAAAGTTCTGACGAGTCTATTTTTTAAAAATTATGTAAAAACAAAGTACGAACCTGGAATGTACGATTTAGTGTCGGACCTTACACTTTTATCTAGAACAAGATAATAGCTGTGTTTCATTTCCCTGAAATCTTAGTTAATCTCATATAATTGTTGAATTTAGAATAGCTTAGATTACCTGAGATCTCAGACAAATAGAACGCGGAATATGTATTCTCATATTTTAAATTTGCCTCATCCCCTTTGGATTTCGGGTTAACGGCGCCTATGCCCGTTTGTCAACGAACACTACTTGCTGTTAACACAAAATTGTAAATTGCGGTTACAGTTTCGCTTGATGTTAAATAATTTCGGATGTTATATCACAAATCAAAGAATTTTCGTCATTGTATTGCTATTTATTTTAGTAGAGATTTTCCTTACGTCATATTTGGTAACACAACCTGACACAACTTTAAAATACCGGGGGACCCAAAGCATAGAGTTATCTACAGCTCATTTGGAATTAGTACATAAGAGAAGAGTAAAATAGACAAATGGACTAATATCATAAGCAAACCATTTTTCATCACTATTTCCAGTTTAACTGAGAGTAACCTCAAATTAAGAAATTTAATTTTTTTTATTATTTTCATTTTAATATTTCAAATATAATTTTTTTTTCTTTAATTAATTGTGCATTTAAAAAAAATTTATTGTGTGAGTTTTATTTAAGGAACCACATATATGTTCTGTCAGTAGTAGCACCCACTTTGGTATTTGCAGCAATGGAAAAAAAGGAATTTTTTAATACATAATTTCTTACGCCAAAAGAATTGGTCCAGGACATAACATTTTATTATATAGAGGTATAATATATAATAATATTTTGTATACCTTAACCGCTATGTCAATTATTTATACTATAAAAACTTTTTTTAACAATGAGTATACCACAAATCAGAAAGGATATAAACTTATTTATAAATAATATTTATAATAAATATAAGTTTTGAGGGATAAAAAACTGTGACCTTGAACAAGTCGTCCATATTAAAAAGGTGATTCTGTGGTATGTGGTCTATGAGTGCACTGGGATCTTACATTTATATACAGGGTGTCGCGCTTAAATGTGATACAAGCCTGTAACTTCTTTATTTTTTGGCCGATTTTAAAATTTTTTATTTTGGAATGTAGGGTAAAAAAAACTTTGTCTAACTGTGATACTGCTGTTTTTATTAATGCAATTCACGGCCAACTAGGACGCGTTTTCTTGACATCAAAACAGTTGATAGGTATTAGAGATTTTTTTTTCCAAGAAACAGATTAGGTATTCTCATTCTGCATCCCTTAAAACGTCTTATCACCAAGTTTCATCAAATTCGCGCCATTATTCCATGGCTAGAAATTGGCCTCAATTATTTGGGATCGAGGGGGATTATCCCTCTTTATACTGCCCAGCAAATTCGATACACCTTCAGGCGAGCACTCTATGATGTCTCGAAATGTGATACAATATAAGCCTCTGTAACTATTTTATTTTTTGTACGATTTAAACATTTTTTATGGAATATAGGGCAAAAAAAACTCTATCTAACTGTGATACTGCTGCTTTTTATTAATGCTATACGGTCAACTAGTGTGCTCGTCTGAAGATGTATCGAATATTTGATGAAACTTGGTGAAAGAAGTTTTAAGGTAGGTATGCTGAATGAGAATAGGTAATCTGTTTTTTGGAAAAAAAAATCGCTAATACCAATTAGCTGTTTTGACGTCAAAAAAACGCATCGTGTATTGCATTATAAATAAAAACAGCAGTATCACAGATAGTTTTTTACCCAACATTCTATATTTTTTTTTAAATCAGTCAAAGATAAAGAAGTTACAGACTTGTATCACATTTCATCGCGACACCCTGTATAATTATTACTACTTTGTTTGAACATTTCGTTAATACAGATAATGCAGCAGTGGTTATAAATATAAATATTCATATTTAAATATATTTGTATTTATGTTCTAAAGAGCTTGCAAACTTGTGCAAAAAAAATTGGTCTGTTGTCATAGTTCTACGCCCGTACTAATTTGTATTATGCTGTGGTAATATGTGCAATTTCCGTTTCTTATTTTGTTAGATGCTGTAGCTCCATTAAAGTGTTCCAACAACGAAACACCCGGTTAGTCCCGTTACAGGACTTCCTATTTTATTTAAGAAATAGCATAACTTTGAAAAGAATGTCTTCAGTTTTGTCACAGTCGTGAAATTCGTTATTTTTGTTGAATTTCTCTGTTTCGCACATTTTTTTTGTCATACAGAACGTGAAATTTATTTCGCGGCGTCGCTAGAAAGTCGTTTTGAACGCGTTTAAGGTACCTATACATACATAATCAACGTAACTTACGTCGATCGTTAGTGCATGCGTACCTACGAAAAATCAGAACTGCCCACGCATATCTGTCAGTTTCCTTTTACGTCTTTGGCATTGCTGTAAGTCTCTACTGTCTAGTCTATAATTACTTTCCCTTCCAAAATATGTTTATAAACGACGGTCTTGCATGTCTGAACTGATGCAAACTGCAATAGATTCTTTTTAGTTCCGACAGAGAACGGTCAACGATATTTCAAATTCCATTCCATTTATAAGAACTAAGCAAATAATTGGGGAGATGGGTAACTAATGTAACTATTCTGAACCGTTCTAGTACTGTCTGCGTCCGTTAACGGAACTTAAGAAGGTTCTACATAGAGTGTATATAGTCTTGTAGAAGTGAATTTGGATGCAAGAAAAGTGTCTATTTGGCTCTTGGCAATTATTTTTTAATGCATGGCACATGCAATAGAGGTCGAAAGTAAAATTTAACCTCTTAACAGATGATTACAGATTATCAAAATCGATTAATTTTTTGTTTTTGAACTGACTGGTTTTACTGATTGGTTTAAAGCGATCACTGTTTCCGAAAACTCTTCAAGTCTTACTCAAAATACTGGTTCTACAATAGAGATAAACAAGCAAAAATTCCTTTAGCCTTTGTTTATTGAAGAATTAAATTAAAAATTAGAAGTGATGGGAGTGGAAAAATTAACCAATCAGATAGGAATGTGGACGGCGCTGTCAAAAGTGTTAGCAAAGTTCTGTGAACCCGGCCTAAATACTATAATTCTCTTATTTCTCTTGATACTAAAAGGTTGTCAAAAATTATAAACGAAAATCCAGTTAATTTAAGATATTCTTGTTTATTTATAAGATGATATTATTAATGAAGAAATTATTTTACCTGTTCTAATTAAAATGTAACTTTTTAATTTATATCATCAGGGACAAACTCTCTAGGATGAGATGATGTTATATTAATAAAACAAAATGGGATGGTTTACTTGTTGTCAATGTAAGTCCAGAGAAGAGAAAATAACAGAATTGGACTTTTCTCGATGTGGAATATCAGAAATACCTAATGAGGTATATGCAAATTCACCTACTCTTGAAGTATTACACTTGGAGGGCAATAAGGTTAATTTTAGCTTGTTTTTATAAAATAAATGAAAAAAGCATTAAGGACTGTTAAATGTTTTTTAGTTGAAAGACTTGTCACCCCAACTGTTCCAGTGCATAGATCTGAGATATTTAAATGTGAGCGATAATGAGATTCGTACGATGCCTCCATTGATTTCAAAATTGACAAATTTGCAAGTTTTAATATTTAGTAAGAATGGTATGTGGTGTTTAATTTACTGCTTTCATATTTTAATTTATATTAGCATTAGTTTTAGATGGAGTACATCCAAATTTAGATAAATTGAATAAACTAACTATGTTAGATCTCAGTATGAATGATTTAGGGAAGGTACCTGATGCAATAATGAGCCTAATAAATCTACAGCAGCTCTGTTTAAATGATACTGGAATCGATTTTGTTCCTGCCAATATTGGACGTCTTTCAAATTTGCGAATTTTAGAATTAAGAGATAATAATTTATGTGAACTGCCTAAATCCATTCGACGATTAACCAATTTACAAAGATTAGATGTTAGTGACAACAACTTATCTAACTTGGTAGGAAGCAAAAGTTTACAATTGATCTATTATTTACTAATTCTTTTACAGACAGAAGTTTGTGAATCTCATGGAAATTTAACCGAATTATGGATAAATGGTAATAATATAACTCAGCTCTCCGTTTCCATAACTCATTTGAAGAAAATTAATGATTTTGATGCTTCATATAATAACTTGGAATCTATACCAAAAGAAATTGGACACTGGACAAAAATAACAAACTTAATTTTAAGTTTTAATAATCTCTCTTCTTTACCAAAGTCTATAGGAAATTTACGAAACCTTCAAGTGCTTAAATTAGAGTCAAACTACTTGGAGGAATTGCCAAATACTATTTGTAAATTAGTTAATCTAGAGGAACTGAATTTACAAAATAATTCATTATTTAAAGTCCCGAGTGGAATTGGACATTTGAGGAAATTGGCAACTCTAATATTGTCTGACAATAAATTACAGCAATTACCAGCAGGTGAGTTTTTAAGTAGGTATATAATTTTAAACGAGTCTATAATATTTGTAATATTTTGTAAATGGTAATGTTTTTGCGAAAAAACTTATTTAATTAAATGTCGGCTTGTAAATTACTCAGCTGTGGCTGTTGATCTGAAATCTAAAGTCGTGTATATTTTCCATTCAACAGAGCAGCCAGTTGTGATTCGAACATGTAAACATTGTATGTACCAGAAATGTATTTCAAAAATATATATATACCATTGATATTTGTTGTCTTAATAACAGACAGTATTAGTAATTATTACTGAAACACCTATAAAAAGCTATAATTTATTATTACAAAATTTTTATATAAATTATTACAGTAGAAGCGCTGATGATACCTGCCTGTTCCATATGAACGAAAAATTCGGTTAATATAAAAAACATATCAAATATGAGTGGATAATAGGAAGTTGAGAATGGTTAACATGGAACCTCTGGCTCAACAACTGAGCTTATTGACAAATAAAACATTAAAAAGGTCGGTTAAATGAAGTTTTACTGTATTGTAATTACTTTGCACTTACCTAAACAAAATAAACAATTCTCTTTAGCATCCTGATCACTATTTCTCTTCAAAAACAAATTTTTTTGGCACCTTTACCTTCATTTTTTATATACGTATATCATGATTTGAAAAGGAATTTTATGCAGTTTTCAAAAACTTAAATATACGTTGTTTCATTTAAAAATATAAATTTGATTGGCAATTGAAAAACTAGAAGATAAATTTGGAAAAAGTTACACTACAAAAATAAGAAATATTCACAGACATGAGTTATTCGACAATACAAAAAAAAATTGATTTTACTCCTTCAATTTTTTTTGAGAAATGACTCCAAGATACAGGGCCGTGTTAAGGTATGTTGGTATTCTAGACATATTTTTTTGCCGCCCCTCCTCTAATTAAAAATTAAAATTATTATAACAGCATATTTTTATTAACAAAAAAAACTTCAACTCTGCGAACAAAAACAAAAAACATCTTATAATAAAAAAAAACAATATATAAGTATACTACTTTTTATCTTTGGTAATAAACGGCAACTTATAGATATGTAGGTATTAATATAATAATATAATGAATATATGTACAAATAATTATTATCTTTTAAAAGCTTTTTTTCCTAGTCTTTTCTTTGGATTTGATTCGACTAATTCCCCGGTCGCTTCGTTCGCATTATGAGCGCCGTTGAATCTAAATGCTATATCATTACACTCGCCCAACCTAAATAAATACAATCGACCAAATGGTTTTGTAATTTTTGTTTTTAAATAATATTAGAATGTATTTATTTCACTCCTCTATTGTTTGTAAGATACATCGTTAAATTTTTATTTATGCTACATTTTTTATTAGAATTAATTAGTATATCTTTGCCGCCCCCAAGGCAGCTGCTCTTCTTGCCTAATGGATAAATCAGCCCTGCCAAGATATCTTTACTCACATACTTTTTGAAAAATACAGACCCCAAATGTTAATATTAGCACAGCCTGTACATGTTCTTGAAATGAAATAATATTTCTATCAACTTCCAAATTATCTTACAATTTTCACTTTTTTTTTTATTAAATGATTAGCTGCACTGAAACCAAAAAAAAAACCATTACAACATAGGTTGTTTCTAATCTACTTACTACCTTTAATCATTATAATAAATAGTAACATTATTGTTATTTACAGTAAATTTTGTTTTAGAAATTGGAAGTTGTTGTGAACTATCTATCTTAAATGTGCACAATAACCAGTTGGAGAAACTTCCTGATGAAGTGGGGCACCTTCAGAATCTTACCACATTAGGTCTTATCGGTAATAAACTGTCTTATCTGCCCATAACAATATCGAAATTAAGAAACTTAAAAGCATTATGGCTAACACCAAATCAAACTCAACCTTTGATCCACTTGCAAAATGAGCAACTTGCTGATGGAGAGATAGTATTAACTTCGGTAGTATTTCCACAAGCGCCACTGAGGGATCCTCCACCTAACGTGCAATTACCTTTGGGGAATCAAACATGCCATATAACGTTCAATACCGAGAGGATTGAACACGAAGTTGCAGGTACTAATATATCTTTAAGTCGTACACCTACTCCCCACCATAAAGAATTGAAGAGGCTAAGAGAGATATTACGAAGTACACAGATACCAGGCAATCAAGTATTTAACATTTCACAAATAAAAGAAGCCAAAGTTACTCATATTTCAAGCGATATTAATGTTTCGCAGACTAGTTTAAATGGACACGAAGGTGGTACATTAGAGATTTTAGAAAGTTTGTCTGATATAACTAGGGAAACTAATAAAACACCACCAAAACAACCACCTCCTTATCACATAGCAGCAGTTTATTCCAAAAATGCTCATCTGTTTATTCATAATTTAAGTCCTCCTAGTCCACATGATCAACCTAAACAGTTTAGTCAGCAGCAACCGACAAACATACATATGCCCACCCCAAAGATGCCCGATAGCAGAAATCAGTTTGTTGGTATTGATAGATCTGTTCCAGTATTGCAACTTGCGGATAATAAAATTATGAAATCTATATCTACTAGCACGGAAGAAGATTTCAACCAAGCGAAACATGTTAAGTGGCCTTTTGGCAGATATAAAGTTTGTAAAGTTTTGGAAGTAGAGCTGCCTGATTCATATTTACCAAATGATTTTCAAATATCCGCCCAAATTGATGTAAGCTATTAATTATTCTTGAAAATTAATATACTAATAACAATAAAAATACTCAGTAATTAATATTCTCATTTTTTTGCGATTTTTAAACTTTTATTCATGCATGAAGCAAACTTAGATACCGCAAATAAGAATCAAATAAGTTAACTTATATTATAATTTTTTTAGGGTATTTTTATAGAGGATGTCAATCCTGAAAGTGTAATTTGTGAAAAATTATGTAAAGGGGACAAAATATTAGCTTTTGATGATGTGGATTATTCTACTGTGGATCCTGTAGAGGCTTACCAGGATGCATGCCATAAAATTGGTAATGTAAAAAATGTGACAATTTCAAGAAATCAAGATGTGTAAAGTTAAACATTTGGTTTTTTAAGGTTTTTCATCTCATATTTAATTGGATCCAATTTTTACTGCGAATGCTCTATAAACGAACTATTTTTTTTTATTAAAAAATCTTTAATATGATGAAAAAATTATATTTATCTTAATAAGCCATGGCAACAATTAAAAGTGAATATGTATTTATGGCTAAAGTAAATTAATGTATTTTAGAGTATATTGGATCCAATAACTTCAATATATAGTGTTACCAGTAAGTATTTATGAAAATTTGATAAAGCCAGTTGTTTTTATTTAAAAAATAATTGTACAAAAGCAATCGTGATATTTTCTTCTTTATAAATGTCAAATTTGACATGTAGGAAATTATGGGATTATTTTTGTACATGTCATTTGATATTACATTTTAAGCAAAAACAATTGTTAAAGACAAATATTTTAGAAACTCGATTACCATATGATACTTACTTTATTAGTAACACTGTATATATATTTATATGCAGCAATAGTGTCAAACTTATCTATAAATGTGGATTGTCAGTTTGAGAACATGCAATAATATTGTTACTATGAAAGAAATGGTATTTACATATTATTTTTCATATTTTAATTTTAAACTTAAATGATCTGACATTCCAAGATCTTATGAGCTGCTTATTTGACATTTTTGTATTGAACAATTTATATAAATTTATACAAAATATGAATTGTTTTCAAATAAAATGATAATTACATGAGATATATCTTCAAAATTTATAATTATTGTTTCCAAACATTGACATACTTAATTTAGTGCAGCAATAATAATTACATACTAAATGCATTAGTACTTTTCATACTAGAACTAGATGTTTATATCTAATAATATGACTGTTATACTAATGAATATTGAACTTTCTTATTGTTGAGTAATTCGCAGTTATTGCACGATTCATAAATTGTTAATTTAAAATGTTACTTGTTTAAAGTCAACGAATCGTGTGCCTTTTAGTTGATATTGTAATTTGTCGATTGAAAATTATGAAACAAATTGCATACTATTTACCTCAGTTCACAAATTTAATTTTAGAAACAGGCTGTGAGATTAAAATTATAGTATTAAATATAGTTTGTTTTAAGTGAATACATTGCAAATATTATTTATAAAACGATATTATTTATATAATTGCCAAAAGTGTAACTATTTGCTAGTTGTAGTAAATGCTGGTAGATTTATTTCAATTAACCTATTGCAAGAAAGTTTCTTTGACTATTTATACAAAGTTTGTATTTTTAATGCATTTCTTAAAAACAAAGTTTAAGATTTTTTTGTCAAAAATATGAAACTCATTTAGTTGCTTAGTGATTGTTACCATTCAAATACAGACTGATAAACAAAATTTATCTACAATATTAATGTACTACCAATTCAAGAAAGACTGATTTTTTAAATCCTATTTTTGTATTAAGCTGTTTTATCGAATCAGCAGCTGCAGCAATGTTTGAAGTGAATCTGCCTTAAATGTTTATGAATGAACATATATTTGGATTTTATAGTAAATATGTGTGTAGTACTAACTAGCAAATTTTCTGTTTATTTTAGCAATTTATCATGTTAAGTTATATATACTTACTACTTTTTGACTGACTTTATATTTATACTTTTTTAATAAAAGTTATTACTAATAGTTAAAATGTGTAAATTGTTTGTGACGATACTGTAACCTACCAGTGCAAATTTATAAAATTTGCCGACAACCAGACAGTAAGCAGTGTTTCGCTACCATAATGACAGAAGGTCGTAAGTACCATTTTTTATGTATGGACATATTCCTATAACTAGTATACAAAAATATACGCACTCTGCAAAATTCCGAACCAGTATAAAATATCGCATGTACTGAATTGATCATACCACATCTATTCAGTTCTGTTCAGTTAACTGTGACGTCATGTTAATGGGACTCACTACTAAGGAGGTCAGCGACAAGTGTATTATTGAGAGAGTTAAAATGGCTACAATTTAAGAAAAATCATACACTTTAAAACCATGATGACAAACTTCAAATAAACTAATTTCAAATATAAATCAAGTAGGGCTAAATCAAAGGCTAGAGGCAGTTTAGGTGACATCTCTTTAGGGTATCATGACTTTTATAAATCAAACAAAAATGGCACTGAAGAGTTTTTCAGTGACTGTGCGGTAAACACAGGTGATGAAGAAGAATGAAATATTTAGCTACTGACATTTATTTTTTAACCAGACTCCTGCGAGTTTATTAGTGAGATATACTGTAATGCAATGATAAAGTATCAGTTGCAAAGAAACATTTAATTACAGAGCAAAATATAAATAATACGTACAAGCTGCCATTATGGTAGCAATATATAAACCTGCAAATTCACTTCATTGTTGGCACTTTGACCTTTTTCAGCCACTTTTGGTGTCCTTGAATAGAGAAGCAGCAGTCAGGACCGTAATAAGAATTTTTTAGTTGTGCAAGATAGTACATTAAAATAGATAACGTTCGTGATAAATATCTAATTTAAAAATAATAAAATTATTAACTTAAGGAAGAGGTTTTAAATATCTCTAATAAATGGTAAATCATATTTTACAACGAAATGTTAAGAGTATATTTATGTATATTGACAAAATTTTCAAAACATTTTTTTTTTGGTATATTAATTCTTATTGCCTGCATCTGTATTTTATATTTGTAATATACAGGATTTTATCAATTTATACAATGTCTTCACGTTATTTACTAAATTAAAAAAGTATAATTTGGGACACATTTTTTGAAGATAATTTTATAAAATATTTTCACATTACTCTATAGGTATAAAACTAATGTACGAGTTGAAATCACTAAAAAATGCATGTCCTGTATATTGTATTAATGTATTGTGTAATTTGTTAAAAAATATTTCCAAAAAGTATTGCATAGTAAAATATTTTTATCATAATATATACCTACCTTTTCCTAATTTAATTATATATGTAGATTATTTACCTATTTACATTTTTACAGAATCCAATGTAACTTAAATGACTATTGTAAGAATTGCATACTTAAAAGCGGTACATCGACAAATTTCACCATTTCATTCTTAATTTTATCAAAAATGATTTCCAATCTACACAATTTTATAAATAATCTGAAAAAAATTTGTTATACAACCAAAATAATACCGATTAGTATTACTATATTTTTTTAAAACAAAGGAATTGGCTGAGTATTGTGTGGAAATATTTTCTTGTATTGCAAGACGCAAATCACAATGTGCCTCCCAATATTCTGTATACTTACAAGGAACAACCACAAATTTTTGGATTCAAAATAAAACAATGTCTGTCTTCAATGTTTCTTCGTTTACCTGTTAGAGGACGTTAAAGTTAGCAAACATTTTTTGTTTTTAGAGATAGATAAATTCAGATGTACGAATTAGTGCTGGCAACTGAAATCGGTTGTTTGGATAGTCGGTTAACCGGTTTCGGATAATTCGGATTTTTATGAAATCCGAAAACCGGTTATTCGATTCTTCAAATATCCGAAAACCGGTTATTCGGTTATTCGAATCTTCAAATATCCGATTATTCAAATAACCGATTATTCGATGATATACTTCCTTTTTTTTTTGACATCGATTTGTCCGATTGCAATTGACCGACTTCCAGATTTTTGTAAAGATCTTTTTTTTAGACAATTTCGCCGGATCTGTCTGTAAAGCACCGATTTTCAGATATTCGGTTTTGGCGATTCAAGTAACGGGTTATTCGAATAACCGGTTTTAGCAACTATTCGACTACCAGGTTTAATCTGAAATCGGTTTTTACGGAACCCGGGTAACCGGTTTCACTTTCTTTCCGGTTTTTGCCAGCACTAGTACGAATGAATGACTAACACCGTTTATGAGGAAAAAACTAACAAAAAAAAAGAATTAGAAAAGTTCAAAAATTATAACAGTGTTAAGAGCTTGTTACAAGCAGTGGACTATAAATAAAAACTAATCATTTGGCTCTAATTTCTCAAGAATTAAATGTACTTAATTATGGAAACAATTTTATCTGTGTGGTTCATATAAGCACAAATTTGTGTAAAATGTTAAGATTTATATAAAGTTTTATTCATGCTCCGCTGCTAATTTGCATTATTTTTGGATTTTTAATCGGGAGTGTTTTATCCAAATTTGTAAAATAAGATTTTTTTTTAATAACGAGTTACTTTCCCTAACGTTGACACGTTTATAAAATCCTTCACACACACGGATGTTATTTCAGAAATTGAAATGTGGAGAAACCACGAAACGATTTTCCTGCACATAACTTCTGAACAGGTAATCATTGAGATCTAAGTATTGACTGAAAGTTAAAAGCATCCAATATGATACGAATCAAGTGTAACTTTTTAACTGTGGGCCCACCTATATATAAATTGATTTTTAACACACTTGCGATGTCACTTTTAGAGATCTTTACTTTTCACCATGTCCTGGACATCCTGTATCTTTACCATTGAAAATATGGTATTTTACAATTTAGTATTGGATCATAATATATAGTTATAAATCTTAGTCATATAAATGTGGATTTGAAGAAAAAGGACTGTTACTCTACCCTTTTGGCAAACTGTTCATATTATAAATATATCATACCATATATTAATGAACACTAAATGTAATATTTTACAAATGATGTAATTATAATTTGTACTCAATTTTATGACAATAAATGTTCAGTTTTGTCTGAACAATCATTTATTGATTGAATATAAATATAATAAAGGACCAAAAATAATAAATTATCACATTATAGTTTCACTAAATAAAAACAAACTTGTAAAGAAATAAAATACAATTAAAAAATCAAACTAAATTGACATCTGTTTTCTTCTTTAAGACTATATCAGCAACGTTTAAGTGAGCAACCTTTTCTTTTCTTGGAGGCGGGATGGACTGCTGGCAGAAGCGTTTAAAGGCTTCTAGTTCCAATTCCTCTGCGTCCATGTCATCTTCCAGTACTTCCCTTGGGGTAAATACACTATCTGAAATTTGATAAGAGTCAGTCCACCGAGAGAAGATACAATACTCTGTAAAAATTACACAAGTTGGTTAAATATACAGGGTGTCTCGCGGTGATGGCCCATTAGAATTATTTTAGAGACTACTTCGATTTGAAGTTTTGCTAAAAAATTCCTCAGCTATCCTTACATGATTTTAGGTGATTGCACAAAAAATAGTAGATAACTTAAAAACTAGAAGAGATAGGTATAGGGAACCCTGATACCGTTCGAAAAAGAATAAAATTGTGTATCAGAATATAGAAAAACATATAGGTTTGAAGTTAACTAAACTCGGCATTAAATTTCTAGCACCCTGTATGCAATTAAGCCACTTTGAAAGTATGGATGGGAAGCTTAGAGGTCCAGCTATCCCCCCTATAAATATTGTTGCTTTATCTTTCTTCCGATGGTTTGAAGCTAGTCACTGTTTCTGTCCATTGTTTTTGAAAAAAATTAAATATCTCAAAAACGGTAATTTTAGGAATAGGGAAACTTCATAAGTCCACCTAAAATACCACGTAGAATCCAAAATTGCGATAATATAGAGGGTGTTCCATTTAAAATAAGCAAGTTGATGGTGACTTCCGGTATAACTGAAAGTGGTACTTAGATGCCATTATTTTAGTTGAGAAAGGTATGCCCGAAAACGCGGTATCCCAAATTTTCAAAATTTAAATAGTAGTCTCTGAAATAATTCTAATGGGCGTCACCGTGAGACGCCCTGTATGTTACTCTAACGACTTTCTGCTTTTAATTATAATTTTAATTTTTTGTATTACCAATATAAGTATAATTCATTAAGATTACAATATATGCCAATTTTAATACAGTAGAATCTCTGTAATCTGGCACGTCCAGTAATTCGGCATTATTTTTTCATTATTTTTTCCGCGTTCGTCTACTATCCTTGAAAAATACAGTTTATACAGTTATAGTTTAGATTATTTTACAGAAAAATAAAAACATTACAATATACATATATGTAATATGTATGTATATATGTTCTCTCTTTGTAAACAAACAATTAAAAGTAACGTTTTTTAATTTAATACTGTTTACATTATACATATTCCATTAATTCGAATTTTCCAGTACTCCGGCACTCTTAGATTTTTAATCGGATTAATGAGATTTTACTGTACTAAGAATCTACATGTTTCAAATGATTGCATATTTTGAGATGGTCCTCCTTCAAATCGTTATAAACCATTGTCTAATTCTCAATATTGATTTTAAAATTATCGTAAAATTAAATTAGTATGTGACCAAGAATACAATATTATTGTAAGATTGGTGACTGCTTAGGATGAATGAGAGTGGGGAGGGATATGGCAAGCCAACCCACATTAGCCCTTTGTTGGACCTGGACAGTATGAACAGTTTATTTCAATTTTAGATATGCATGTTAAATTAAATAAGAATGAATATGTTCTCCCAGTATCTTTTCTATTTCAAAGAAAATGTTTTATATAAAAAAATACTTTTATTTATGAATAAAAATAGTAGAACAATTTTGTCCATATATATTTAGGAAAAAAGTAGGCAAGAAACTTAGTTGTTTCCAGATAACTGTATACAGAAGTTGAAAATGTGCCGCTGCCCCAAAATAAATATTCTCTTTTTTTGTGGATGACCTTGTATCAGTTCTCATTTTATCAAGGGCACTTTCTAGTTTTTTCTCTTGTACATTTTTGTATTTCCGATAACTTTTGAGTAATTAATTGTTTTATTGTTTATTTATTTAATAATAAAAAAATTCTTCTGAAAATTATAATCGAATGTTCTTTATAAAAGTTATTGGAAGCACAATTTTTAGTTACATATAATTCAGTAAAGAAATTAAAAAAAATGATTGGCCTCATCTCAAATTTCTCCCATTCTGTAAACGGTGATTATCAAATTCAGATTTCTGGATTATTCATAATTTGTACAATGAATGTGATGTTTTATACTGAATGTGTTCTTATTTCATATTTCAGGATACAGGGTCAGGTTGTCAACTCTGGTTTATTAAGCAACGATATAGGACTATGAGTATTGATAACTAGAACTTCAGCACGATGAAGTCTTGGCATGGCGTACTAGACTTAAGCCCTCCTACAGCCTTTCAAACTCGCACTGTCATTTATTGATTTAATATTATTTGTCAAAAAATATTAGGTATTTGTGCATTTTTTAAATTTAAACTCTTTTCTGGCTAAATGAACTGTAATTCTTTTTAATACAGTAAATTATCTGCACAGTATTTATATTTTTCGCAAAGCTACATCTTTCAGTATACAGGGTATCCCAAAAGTATGGAAACCCCAGAATAACTTGGAAGTAAAGGGCAACATGGAAAAAATGTTTCATACAAAACTTTCAGGATTTTTTCTGGGCTATTCAAAAAATAAAGGTCATGAAGTCACATTCGGAAGCAAAATTTTCCGCTGTAACTCCACAATAAAAAATATGGGTTACCCTCACAAAGATTGACCCCTACCTTGAAATAACCATGATCTCAAGGTAATGGTCAAAGCCATATTCAGTCATAAAATTTTCCGCTCTTTCTAATGGTGTGATAAAAAGTAGGTGTTCCCATTAAAAAAAAGACCTTGACCTTGAAATGACCTTCAAGGTCAAGGCCAAGGTCAAATTTAAGGTCATCATTGAATAGCCCGGAAAAAATCCTGAAATTTTTGTATGAAAGGTTTTTCCGTATAGCCCTTTACTTCCGAGTTATTCTGGGGTTTCCATACTTTTGGGATACCCTGTATATCAGTGTTGCTAAGTACAAAAAACAGTAATATGTGTTAATTAAAACAATGTAAATATTATTATTATTAAGCAATTATGTATTTAAATTTAGTTACTGGAAAATGTCTCAGTACAGGACACTCTTTAATCCGAACTAATTAAAACACGGCTTAAAGACATAAATTCGAATTACCGATATTTTCGGATTACTGGATAGTAAATATGTACATATGTGAATATGTTTATGTACATACATAATATAATATAAATTAGATTTTGTGTTACTGAGAAGGCAAAAAATAACAATAAAACCAAACATTATCGTAAAATATGTCGTATAAATATCAACATGTTTGGATGGCAATAATATTTGAACTAAAAAGATCTAATCAAGAAAGGTTCCAACTCGCATAAAAGGGTTTCCCCGAGACTGCCGGGAATTACGTTTTTAGCGGTTACTTTTTATTATGTAGTCTGACTTTATAATCCGAACTATATACGTTAAACCGAATTTTGTTCGAATTAAAGAGTTTTGTTCGGACCATCGAAATGGGCACTCGTCGGGTCGGATTAGTGGATATTCGGATTAAGGTGAGTTCGGATTAGTCTATACTGTATATTACATAATAAATTCAAAATTAATATTGTCAAGTATTAAAATGTTAAGTAGTGATGGGCAAAATCGAGTATTTTTAAGAATCGAGAACTTGGTTCAATATGTTCTTTTGTTTCCAATAAACATTTTTAAAATCATAAACAATACGTGCAAATACATAGAATATTTGAAATTCTTTCTGTTTATGAGTCGCGTTTGTTTCAGTGAATGCTATTTGATAGCCCGGCAACTATCGAGAACCGCTGATTGAAATATTTCAGTCAACGCAAGAACTAAAAGTATTCGAGTATTTTCAGCAAGTATTCGAGAACGAGAACTTGTAAAAATCGAGTACCACTCGATTTTTCATTCAAGATTTCCTATCACTAATGTTAAGTGTATAATATAAATTATAGATAATAAATGCTCAGTAATGATACCAAGTGACCAAAATTATTTTGCGACGAACCATTTAAATGAAGATCTACTTGCTGAACTAATTATCATGATTCACTTGGTAATCCATGGCCTATTGCAATTTTTTATAAATAATTTTTGGGAAAACTGAGGAGCTTTGAGGCAAAACTAATAGGGTCCGTTTGTCAGAAAAACAGTTACCACTAAAGTTAACGAAAACCTGTTGGACATATCGGTTCTATTTTCACATCTGACAGTGTCGGTGAAAGAAGATAGACAGAAGACAGTTGTCAAATTTTTGAATTCTTTTGTTGCCTACAGTTAAGAAACCGTGGACTAGAGTTATCAGGAAAAGAAATGGATAACTTGCATTTGTTATTAATAGGCGATGAATCGATAGATTTTAATATGTTAGATGAAATTGTTAACGATCTAGCACAACTTTTAGAAATAATTGATAATGATGAAAGAAGGGTCATACCCAAAAATGAAGAAAAGTGTACCTGCAAATATAAGGAAAATGTCAGAAGGAACATACATTTGTACCTCCCAACTGATAAATTAACTTTGATCTTTCTTACCATTTTTTAACAGTAAGTGGACACCTTCTGTTGCATCAACGACATCATAAAAATTATTTTTGTATTCATATTTTATTACAAAATTATCACTTCCCACCATTTTTGCACAACCGTTACGTATAGCGAGCGCCTCTTTTATATGCTACAAAAAATGACGATCGCTCCACAACACGTTCCGTGGTAGCACACGCACCAGCGGAAAAATCGTAAACTGTTCTGACTGCTGAACGCGACCAATGGATGCACTCTTTATGAAAATTGAGATAGATAGTAGAAGATATGGACTTAATGTTAAAGTATATAATATAAAATAATCTAAATAAAATAAATCCACTTTTACTTCAGAAGCCAATAAATTAAAAAAAGTAGGAATTTTTTCCCAAAGTTTCAAAGTGTTTTTGTTTATATACTTTCATGTTTTGTCAGCAAAACACATTTTTATGTTTGTATTAGTTACTATGTTTTTATTGACGTTTCTTAACAGAGTATTAAACAAAACCAAATAAATCCAGACATTTCGAGCAAAACCTTATAATTTTTTTTTTTTTTGATATATTTACAAAGATATTTTTTAAATTTATATAATAGGGAAGTGTATTATGATACGCCCCATAGTATTTCCTTAAAAACAAAAAAAAAGATAGTATTTTTTACACCATAGAAAAATATTCTGTTTCCAAAAATCCTATACGAAGGATTTATTTGTGTTTGTTCCCATTTTTTTTTTTATTAAAAATCTAGTTATATAGTCTTAACATGTGTCGCTTAAAACCCTATATCTCAAATTTTCTTATTTTAGAAAACTTAAAATGTTTAAAGTTTTTGTTTCAGTTTAAAAATTTACAATCTATTATCGACTAGAAACACCTGCAGATGGAGAATTAGTCACACTGTATAACTTTAACCTAAAACTGAAGCTAAATATTTGCAGATGTAAAAATAATAAAATAAACTAGTTTTTATAAAAACAGTGCCTACTAGGACGTAAAAGAAGAGTCTGGGCAGGTAAAATTCCAGTATTTCAGTTTGAAAATCATGTTTACTGCTGTAGTAAAAACATAACAAGAGTTTTTTTTATGTTCAAACAGCAGAATATTTGACATATTGTTGTCACCTTTTCTATTTTACAAAATGAGGATAGAAGCAAATTTCTTTTTTTATATAAAAGTATTATTTTAAATTATATAATAAATATGAACTTTTTATTGAAAAAATATAATCCTTGACTACAATTTTAAGGTTGAATTTTAACATGTCACACATGGTAAAACTCTAACTAAAAAACTAGAACTAATACTGTTTCAATATGGGCTTACCATATAACCAATCATCCTTGTCAAAATTGAATTTCTCTCCACTATTTGAAGCAGGTATTATGGAAACTTGGGCAGTTTGGCAAGATTTATTAGATTCTAGGTCGGGTTTTATATATTTTTTGTCAACTTTGGTTATTTCAATACCCGGTAATCCAGAAAGAATCTCTTGAGCATTAAATGGTGAAATAATTTCATTTTTTTCTTCAGTTATATTCTGATGGCTAGGCATATAACGGTTAGAATTTGTTTTCGATTTTTGCATTTCTGGTAGCAACTTGGGCATGGACATTAAGGGCATAGCATTTAATACTCCGCCGTTAGCTAAAGACTGCTGTAATCTGGAACTTCGTATGGTCACCATACCATTTTCATTAGTAAATATTGCCGCTGGACCACAACCATCCCCATTTTTATCCACTGGTGGAGGATCAGATTTACTTTGGAACGATTGGAATATCGGATTTTTTAATGTTATCATCTTTTTATTAACACTATTGTTAGGTTGATGAGTATTTGGACTGGTAGGATTCTCTATTTGCTTCTTATTTTTTTTCTTCCTACTCTTTTTACCATTCTTCGTTGGTTTTGTTGGAGCTACCTCACTACACTGTTTATTCTGAATTAGTTTTTCTGTATCAACTACTATTACTCCAGATTTACCCACATTGATGGCAGACCCCTTTTGATCTTCCATATTAGTTACTTGGTAACAACGATTAGAAACTGGTCCTTCGACTTTTGTAATGGTAATACCTAAAAAAATGCAGAAGTAGTCAATAAAAATCAATCCAATTGAAATCATAATTTAAAGATTTGTAGCACTCCATTTAGAATTGATGTGAAAAAGCTAAATAACAATGCCAATATCTAAAATATGTTAACTGCAACCAATATTCTCTGAGTAGTACTACCATTGCCAATTAAAATAAGTTAATAAAAAAATTGGTGCAGATGCCTCTAATGTCACGTTTAAATCTTAAAAAATGAAGTGTTAATGAAAAAAAAAAAAAAATCTAGGTAGACAGATTTCAGCACAAATTTTCTTATCAACTTTTTTCATATTATATTAATTGTTATAACATGTATCAGCAAAGTTTGAAAGCACTTGATTTTCGAAATACAAGTTGTCATTAAAGTGCATGAAACTGTTTATAGCTAATTTTCTCCGAAATGCTGCCAATTATTGTGATTGAAGAGGAATTCCTTTTTTGTGTTTCTTGAGATTTCCTTTCATGAAAATGATTTATTTTACTGAATTCTTTTTATCATAAAAAAATCTTTGGTTACCCTCCATTCCACGATATTATTGCAATCGATAATCTAACTCAAGTTGCGTGGCTAAGATGACTAGGCTATTTGCTCAGTAACTGCTTCTATTACTACTTTTTTCCTTTAGGAAAGTAATCAATAAATTAACTCAAGATAACAACTAAAAAAGCAAAAATTACACCATCCTTAAGTAACAATCGATAATTGTTTCATTTGGATTATATAAATTATTTAAAAGTAATATATTTTTTACTGTGTCCTTAATCACCCTGTAACATTTTACTTCAAACTTTGGCTCACAGATGGTTTGTTGCAGTAGACAGCAATAACGGGTTCTCATGATGGAGTACACTGTGCCGTAAATATTTAAATAATTAAAAATTTATTTACTCTTGAATTTAACGATTTACATCTACCAAGAAATTATAAAAACAAATATTTGGTCATATTTTTACTTTGCCCATCTGAATTGATCATTCCCAAATTTTTGTACATTGGTCCACTGTAAGGAAGTGATTTATCCAACTATTTAAAAATATAGTGTTCTGTTAAAAAAAAATGCACATTAGAGTTATATGCCTTGATAATATGATATTCAATTGATTTTATCCATACACGTTTTTTCATATCTTGAAGTGACACTAATAACGGACCTGCAGTAGTCCGTCTCCAATGAAAATTGGACACACCATATATGATACATTTTGCTGTAACTTACCTGGTGGAAGGCGGAGCATAGGTATTTGTATATCATCATGACATCTATCATCATTATTATTGTTTGCGTTCTGTTTAGTCACAGCTTTTTTATCATTACTCTTCATACTGCTTTTGGTTACTTTTTTGGTTTCTTGACATGAGAGATCTGTAAGATGTGGTTTATTAGAATCCAGTGCTAATGTAACTTTTAATTCCTTGGTAATAACCGTAGAGGCAGGTTGGTTATTTTGCTGTTTCTTCTTTTTTTTCTTTTTGGAAGTGGATGTCTGGTTAGTAACATTATCACCAACTTTACTAGAACAATTTTCATCCATTCCGTTTACTAAGGTATAAAGTAATTTATCCTGATCTGGAGTGGAGCCTTTCAATGTAATTGTTACTGTAGGGGTACTACTTCCATTTTCTGCCACCCGTTTGATGGTTACCATTGCAGGAATGGTTTCCTCCAATATTTGAGATTTTTCAGAAACTATCTTCTGCTGCGCTTTCTCCTGTTTTTCACTTAGCTTTCTATCTGATTGGTCCCGTTTAGTTTTTTTCTTGCCGTCATTCTTAACTGAATAAAACTATATGATTAGAAACTGGTTTCTCCATTTATAATACAGTGGAACCCCGCTTATACAGTTCAAATGGGACTGGGAACAATCCACATTATTGAAAATCCAGATAATCCAGAAAATTTTTAATGCCACTGTATTACATCCTATTTTATTTATTAAATATTAAGCCAAAACAGAATAAGATTGAAAACGAGTTGAGTGCATTGGTAAAAAGAATTTTCACTTAGATATGAAACTTTAGCTCCTTTCTACACAATTCATAGCCTGTTATTTTGACATTGAGTTTTTTCTTTCATGTCGTTTAATTTTCATATACAGGATGTTCAGAAAGTATGAGCAAAAGGTTTAAGCACTAATTCTACTCATAACAATGATAGTAGTACAACGTCCCATGACACTTTTCGAAAACTCAATCTAATGAAGTTGCTAATCTCAAAAGATATTTTTTAGATTAATATTTTGTCATTGTGGTTTCTTCAGTTACGCTATTTTTTTTATCAAATTTGGTATACTATTTTTAGTAACAAGCTATACTTGTAAAAAAATTATCAAAATCCTAAAAACCTGAATGATCCTTTTTGAGTAGAAAACTGATCTATTTTTTATTTATTTTTTTTTTAAATTAAATACCGTAATACAAAAAAAAGAACATTAAGTCTCTTTTTTGAAAAAAAAATGCATTTATCGTTTTGCCATATTTTGAGACCATATCTTCCATTCAAATGCCTATAAATTATTTTTTTTAATTAATCAATGTCTCCAAAAATTATCCTAAAATATTAAAGCTTTTCCTTTATGTTTAATTCTGCTTTGTTTATAGTGAAAATTTTAGCTATCTTTAAGAGTACCACAACACATGAAATGTGTTTTTTCTTGGAATCTTGGAAGTTAATATTTTCATATTTGTAACACTGTGTATGACCTTTAATGGTAAGCTGTATTTTTTTAATAACCACAAACAAAAAGTTTTCAATCAATTTTTTTGTCAGGGTTCTAGCCGTTTTATAGAATATAGCTAAGCTATTGTTATTAGAGAACAAATTATTAATTTGGAAAAAGTTATACTGACTGCTGTGAAACCCAATACACAATATCGTAAATGTCGTTTATGAAGTTACAAATTAAATTAATTTATACTTCGCTTTGCCTTTATTATTATAATTGAGGAACATAGCAGTATGTAATCCAGCATCAGTTTAGTTGCTAGGTTAGGCTACTATCTGAAAATAACTTCTTTCTATATAATGAGCTAGAAATGCAATATAAATGACAATTACTATATCATCTTAAATTTTTGTGTCAAAATAACCCTTAGGTTTCCATTTGTTTACAGCTTTTTGTTTGGCAAATTTTTTTTATAGAGCAAAGGTGGTAACCCCAGACAAGTGATATGTAAACCGTTTAGGGCTTTGGAACTTTAATAATTTTTTTTTTTGTTGATTGGTTTATTACCAACAGCAGCAAATTTGAAAAAACATCTTAACTAACAAAAGGTAAAACAAAACTTAATTTAAAAAAAACGTTAGGGTTATGTTAAGGAACTATTAATACTGCGTTCCGAAAGTGTTATAAATTTTTTGCTTAGCGTTTCTGGACACCTAAGACAGGGGGGGTATGTTTTATAGTTTAGATAAATCAGAAGTTCCACTGTATATATATTTAATTCAAATTACATTTATTGTGTCCCTTTTATTGTATCATGCTTATCCGCACAAAAACAGGTTGTTGCTCTGTCGAAAATTAGTTAGTTTGTGAATCAATAAATATATTCTTAGCCCCGTACATTTTATGCACAACAACCGGAATATGGTAATTATATGCTCATATTTTTCCTAGTGTCGCATGATGACATACTATAAGTGAATTTTATGCTCACCTTGGTACAAATTTCTGGATTTTTCTGCTTCAACTAATTTTTTATTAATTTCCTTCTTCTTTTCTTCCTCCTTCCTTGTTAACTCTTCAGCGATTCTTCTCTGTTCATTTTCTACCTTCATTCTTTCTTCTTCCTAAAACATATCGGTGTTTCTCTCACTAAAATTTACTCAAGCTTACTATACCTTTTTCAAACGTTGACGAGCCTTCTTGGCCGCTTTTTTTTGAGCCAATTCCATCTTATTAAGTGCAGTATTTCCTTCTATATAATTGACTAATCCATGAATATCGTCAGTTGCAGAGGATGTTGTTATAGACGAATCAGAAGATTTGACTGATGGCGCAGGAGGAATATTTGTTGGAGACGAGGGAAGTGGTACTCTTTCTTCTACCTTATTCACAACATTTTTTACTTTTGCATTGTTAATATTTGTGGCAGTAATAACAGCCGAAGGTGGATTTTTACAAGTATCTTTCGTTCGCTTTTCCCTTCTTTGATGAAGCCTTATCCTTAATCTATCACGGAGTTCATTACTTTTATGAGTGTGAGACGTAACTGACTGCAATTTGGTAAAGTTAATGCTACGTGTTTATTGGTATATATTTACATTACCGTTCCGAATACTTCGCAATAAGTGCAATCACATTTCTTTGATTCCTTGTGGTGGTCACAGGTAGCTCCAAGGCTTTGACAAGGACTTGGTTTAGTTTCTTCCTCATGTTTGCAACTGTGCTCGCATGGTTTAGGAGTTACTGTAGATTTACAAGACAATTGGTACGATCTGAAATGACACTATTAAGTAGTACTTTAGCAATAAAATAACACAGTTTTCATACTTGTGCCCATTTTTTTTAATATCCCTCATTTTTAAATTGCTATCACGTGTGGTCTCACACTTTCGTTGTCCACTTCTAGAATATCTCGTTTCAGTTAGTCTATTTTAAAAAAGTTAATAAAAGTACTTACATATGTTGCGGCGTCTGTTTGAAAACGTTATCAAATACCTTCTCAGCAAAATTTCCACTGTGAGTAAAAATGTCCTTTTTAATCTTAATGAAGTTCTTAACATTTTTATTCAAAACTTGTTCGCTCTTATTCATAGTTTCCTTCCTATGTTTAAGAAATTCTTCAAAAACTACCTTAGTGCTATCTATGTCGCCTTTTACTTCACCATTTGATTTTGAGAAATGAATATCGCAGGTGTTTTTAAAAACGGGTGGTTCATTAGCTAATCTTAATGATGGATCTTTAGTGACGGAATTAAATTGTTCTTTGTCAACAGATTGTTCTGTTACCATCGCATCAGTTAAGTTTGATGAACCATTACCCAATTTTACAAAATCAATTTTATCTGAAATTATTCGAGATAGATTTGTTGACCGCTTTAATAGTAACGACTTGTTATGGTCTAAATCAGAATTAGCATGACCTAAAAAATAACATTATTAACCACTATCACTGATGATTAAGGTCCAAGAGTAATTCTAATTTCAGGTTCATCCTTTCTTTCAATACAATGACGTGTAGGGAAAAACTTACGTATTTTTATAGAAAACGCAAAGTGTCAGCAATATAGTTTTATTCATTGAGACAGGGATGTATTTCTAAATTCCCAGTATCTGTTAGTAAATGTAAAATGTCAGCAAAAAAACCCAGAGAGACGTCCCTTCGCCTGACCCTCTGGAACAGGACGCCCCATATGCCCTTATAAAAATACGTCCTTGCATTGAGATGAATGACATGTATTATGTATTAAGTACTTGCAGAAGAATAATTTAATTATAAAAATGAAGCATAAACTATTTTAGCAACATAGTGTGCTCCTGTTAGATCTGTAAGCGTTGAAAGTTCACTTCAATCCTATAAATTTATTATTGACAACAGGACTTCAAAGAGTGACCGCAAAAATTGCCCGTTTTTTCACAATTCGCAGAGAACTGAAGAAAATAGATAAAAATATATTTTTGGTCTCAAATTACTCGTAAAAAATTAAGATGAGCATAGCTTTTAGTTTTTTTAAAAATTTTCAAAAATCAGCCCTATTTAGGGGTCGACAAGACGCCCAAAATGAAAAATTGAATATAACCAATAAATATAAAAACTATTAGCATGCGAATTTTTCTATCGAATGATTCTTGATACAAAGAGAGATTTATTCTCATGACTGAAATAAGCATGTTGAATTAGAAAATCCACCCTTAAGCACCCTCAGGTGGTGGAATCATCCCCAAAAATAGAGAATATCAGAAATAATTGTAAAAATTAAAAAAAAATATATTAAGATAATTCACATGCTAATAGTTTTTATATCAGTTGGTAATATTCAAATTCTTAATTTTTGGCATTTTTTCAACCCCTAAGAAGGGGTGATTTTTTAATTTTTTGAAAATACTAAAAGCTAGGCTCATTTCAGTTTTTTACGACAAGTAATTTGTGACCAAAAACATATTTATATGTATTTTTAAAATTAAATTAATTATTAATTAATTGATTAATTTAAATTTTTATTTGTAAAAAACGGGCGAAAATCACAGGTTTTTTGCAGTCACTCTTTAATTCCTATATTTCTTTTACTACTACTAGTGCTTATTGCACTAATGAAGTTAATACTTTTCATATCTATGTGTTAGCATGTGTCCTGAATTAAATCCTGATTTTTATGTCTCGTACGATTTTGTACTCTCGGACCTTACTGACACATGTATACATATTATAATTAAAAAAATATATGTTTTATTAATACATATTTAAAAAATTACTTACAGTTAATATGGTGATGAAAATAATCCAAATCAACGAGATTTTGACATTTCCGACAATATGATAATCGCTGATTGTTTTTAAGTATTTTCTCATTCAACTGCTCCTGATTTAAATCTAAAATGCACTTATATTTCGCAATCAAGCATTCTTCACAAATGCACTGTCCATTTCGGTCTAAAATTGGCCCTGCAGGATGGAATGTTGGATCGCCGAGAAGATGAAATATCTGATGGTCAAATCTACTTAAATTCAAGTTATCTATCCTGAAAAATATAAAATGAACAATTTTTTTGAAGGTATATAAACGTGAACTTTATCTTACTCCTCTTTAGAACGTTCTATCCAAAAATTATTTGCTAAAACCTTCTTATGTTCAGTTATCATAGTTTCTTCAGTACGATAATATTCACAACTTTCGTCCAAAGTAGCCTCCTCGCTATAAAATATTCAGCATATAGGAACTTATATAACTTTTAATAGAGCAAAATAAAAATACACATACTTTATTTTATCTAATCTTTTTTGTTCTTTCACCCACAGGTTTTTTAAATCTTCAAGTAATCCGAACATAGCAGGAGTATCGCCCGGACTAAGTCGAGTCTAAAAAATAAATTATTCATAAACTGAATTAAATTTGATTATTTTCTTTACCTCTAAACACTGATAAATTTTATTCTGCACATATTCAGTTTCAAAAAAGTATCTTATAAAAACACATGTGTTAAAGTCAATCCAGCACACTGAATAGTTTTTATATATTATAACCTCAAATTCAGAGAAGACAGTACTTAAATTCTTGGCAGCTGATAACATGGCTTCATAGTAATAAAATAACTCTAAAAAAAATAGTAGAGCCAACGTTAACTTAACAGTTCAAAATATGTCTAAATAACTCACTTGTTATTGTATGATCTCCATCAGATTTACTATAATTCCACTGGGCAAATATACAATATTCTCTCAATATTGCTAAAATTCTCAAATACAGCTGACTCTCATCTTCTTGTATTAAACTGCAACATTATGTATTAAGTTGTAAATCCGCACATAAACTAATATGTAAAATTTTAATACTAGCTAAATATATTGTAGTACTATAAATCGATCATTTAATTAAGTACCAATTCCACGAATTACATTCTTAAAGTGCATCTAATTAATTATTATGCTTACTTTTTAACCAAATCTTTGATTTCATTGATAAAAAAGGCAGACAGAACTTCTGCGGATGGGTCAGGATTAGCATTAGCAAAGTTTCTATACACATAGTGCATGTAATGCTGTAAATCAATCCACTGCTGGGATTTTGAAGGAGACATATCTTTAACTTTTTTAAGGAAATCCAATAGCAGTTTCCTTTCGACTTTAGTAATATCATTACTGTTCAACCAATTCAATCCATTTGCTCTTACACTTTTCAAATGATTCTCAGGGATCTATAAACATGATAAAATTAGTATTCTCTAGACTCTTCTCATTGTTGCTCTTCTAAAAGAGCATACCTTTAGAAGTTTATGTATATTATCTCTTGGTTTATCATACAGCGACTTTAAAAACTCCAGTGAATAAATGCCAGATGAGTCTTCTGCAGATTTTGATTGTTTAGAGCCCATTTCGAATTCATATGAAGCTCGGCGACACGTTTGTTTGATAAGAAGTTCAAAAAATGATGTAAAAACACTCATTTTAACATTAAGTATAAAAATATCTAATAATAACACTATATTTAATGAACACACAATTTGTTAGCTGTATAATCCTTTTCACACAAATATATTAAGGATAATTCTTTCAGCACTTTTACATTTTTCGGTCCTAATCGTCTTGTCCTCAAATGTCAAACGGCAAAAGCGTAATGGAAATAGAACCGGATTTGGTGTACCATGGATGTACCATGTACCATGAACCATTTAGTATAGTAAAATACTAAATACCTACTCTCTAAATACAGTAGCGAGAAATTTTATAATTAAGAGGCGTTATTTAAACATTTATTATGTATAATAGCAAAATATACAGGTGTAACAGTTATTTTGTAATAATAACAATTTTATTAATACTTCTAATTGATAGTAAAATGTATTGTGGGCAATGAGATTGGGAATGAGTCATGTTACGATATGAGACAACCGCGAAAATTTGAAATAGCTGATGTGTATATTTTGTGAATAAATTATCATCAGTTCTTCAACATAGTCAAATAATGTTACTTAAATAATTCATAAGGTGCTGTTATTTTATTCTGAACTTTACATCTCTCCTGCTTTTTATTTACGTTTTCAGAATACAGAACAGAACAATGTGATCGTGATGTCAAACACGTGAAAACAGGGCCACGTTCCATTCTTCCGAGGACAGGTGCCAAAGAAAAATGGTCTTTATGTTCTTATAAAATAAGTACAATTGTCCTTCCCGATAAATCCATGTTATTTAAAATCATTTTAAATTAATATAACCAACCTTTAAGGGCTGCCACAATATACCTCATATGATTTAAAACAGTATTTGTTTATTTTTCTGTTAATATCAAAATTTAAGAAGTTAACCCTCCAAATTAAACATTGAACTCGAATGCTTCACGAGGTTTTCTTTTCTAAATTTGTAAAATGCGGCTATTAAAACGATTGTGACTGTAGCTGTACGGTTAGGGCGCATCCGCATGGCACGGAAAATGGAACATAATACAGAGACAGAGAACGTTCCCGTCTTCGGCGTATGAAAATTCGAGAAACAAGTGTGCTCCAAGTAGTTATTCCAGCTGTGGGCATTACTTACCTATAGATGCAAATTAAGGTACGTGGGGAAAGTTTGGATAATGCTTGTATTATTTGCAATCCCCTTGTCGAATTTGAACCCCTGTGAAGTTTTATCTGGGATTCAGTTCAACAGACGTTGTAGCCGGCTACAAATTGTAATTTTATTATCAAAGGTTTATTGAAAGCTTTATTAAAAATAAATAAGTTAGCAGGTAATAAACACATTTAAATTTTAGCTATTCTGAATGCTGATTGATCAATTAAGTGAGGGTAATTGAGATAACAGATAAATACATTTATATAGGTACAATAAAAATAAATATATATTTATAAAAGTATTATTTTGATTAAAGAAAAGATCTATCGGGTACAATCTGACAGACATTTATTGCTCAGCATACTTGAACCAACGATTATAGGCAGTACCTACAGTCGTAAATTCATTATTTGTACTTTATGTTATTTAGATGTTACATGTTATTAATACAATTATAAAGAAATATAATTTCCAAAATAAGCTTTTCCCCATGTTTCTTGTATGGTCCAGGGATATGCAATTAAGTGGATTTTATTTTTTTTTCTACAAAAATTAATCAAGATACGAAAAACATTCAAGAGACAAAAAAGTTGTATTTTTAGTTGCTTCATTCAAAAAATATATAAAAATTACAAAAAAGTCAGTGGCGTAGATTTTTTTGTTAAAAATATTTGTTAAGGTACCGCTCGGGACGCCACTGGACTTAATAAATCTAATCAAGTTAAGGTTAAATTAGCCCCTTAACACTGCAAATAACACTGCCAATTAACAACCAAATTGGGTAAAGGATATTTAAGATATTTACGAAAAAGCAATTTTTTTACAAAAGTATCTTCAAAACGAAGCATCTTCGGACCAATGTTTATATGAACTTTTTGTCACTCATATAATCGTCTGGCGCCTATGGTGGGGTTTATTTCCACATATTGGAATTAGTAATTTTTCTCACAATATGCACAAGCGATTGATATGCGGACAATCGGTAAGTATAAGCATTTAGCTATTTTAGGGAACCGTCACAACACAACTGGCGTGAATTCCGGATCTGACAGATCTGGACTGATTGGCTAATCTTTGTCAAATATTTTGGTCCTAACTATTACTATGCGCAAATTATTGCAAATTTTAAGAGACCGTGGTTTTGCAAAATTTAAGGAACTTTCTAAAAAAATAGATCAGAAGTATTTATATATAGGGTGTTCCATGAAAAACTATCTTGTTTAGTGACGCCTTCATGCATCACCCTGTATATTTGAAAATAATTTAAAGCAGGTACACCATTTATATGAATATTATTCTTGTTTTTTCGCGTAATAACAGACCTACTATACTTTGTCACACTAGTGGACCACTCTGCAGATCATTATGCAGATAAGGCATTTTCTTGATCATACACGATGACTGATATCTGAAACTGTATGAAGACATTCGGCAGTATTAAGATAACGATAAACAATATTTGATAATTAGGTAACAACATAATGGTTATTGCATCTTTAACCATTTTGTAAAACAGTATTACTCAGTCAGTATAACTGACGAACTGACGAACTACAGATATCAATTTTTTTTGTCACCAATATGCAACGTTCAATTCAAATTTATATTGAATGCTTAGTACAAAATGTAAGTTAGTTTAAAAAATGTTTTATTTATATTTCTGTGCTACATACTGCAATGTCCTAATGGACACCACTAATCTAATTGAGCTGGTTATAAATTATTTTGATAACATTTATAGATATCAAGAACAAACCCGCAAATGTACAAAAACAAATGTTGGACAAAGGAACAGTTTTTGGGAAAGTCTCGCATTATTATTACTTTTCTGAAGTATCTTCTGCCACTGGTCGTACCGATGGTAGCATTTATTACGCCAGTACCATTAGTAATTGATTTCATAAGTGAATAAACCGCGGAATGGTATGAGCACAGTAAGCAATACTATACTATCTATGATCGCGATTCCTGAACAGTTGTATAAGCGGTACGATGGTGACATGACGGTACTATTCTTTAGTAAAGCTGTAGGGCAGTGACACTCAACAGTATTTGTGAATAGTGTTTAAACGGATTTGTTAAATAAGTCAGAAACATTAATTCGTTTAGTAAAACACATTAGCAACGCAGGTAAAAACCTAAAAGTGACTTGAAAGCAACTTCATGCAAAGATGTCGAGTGTAACATTGTATTCATATAAGTGATTCATAGTAAGTTATATTCTTTATATACATATACAGGGTGTAGCTTAATGTCTTTCGAAAATTTTAATATTGAATTGTATCATAAATTGATGTGAATCGATTTTTAATATTTGGTTTACAAATTTTGTTTTTGATCCTATAAAAACTGTTATGTACTCGTATGTTGTAGATTTTTTACAAACAATACAAGCTTTACCAAAAATCATTTTGAAAGCAAGAGATTTGCGAACATATAGTTAACATTAACTTTTGCGATGTTAATATCTCCTCAAACTTCATCTCTAATTCTAGTTTCAGAACAAATTAAGTTTCGTTTCTAATATTTATAAATACAAAGATATTTAAAAAATAAAAAATTGTTTTCATAATATTCCATTTTGGTAGGGATTTGTGAGAGTTACAAGAAAATTAAAGGCTTCATTCAAAAGCTTCTTTCGAAGATCCCCAGCAGTGTCATTCTTAAGTGAAATAGGTACCCGTTTTTCGAGTTGCGCCTTTGGGATCCCGGTTATTTTAAGAGATACAAAGTTGATCAAATTAGGACAAAGTTGTGACATTTGGTGACAAGTAACTTGCCGAGAAATTTGACGTATCTTTTTCGTTTTGAAATTATTGACAAAAAAGTTAAAGTAATTTTCGTTTTCATTTTTTTTTATTGAAAACGAAAAGAATTGGAGTTTTTAAACTAAGACATTGCTAGGACACTTTTTTACGGGGAATTCAAATATGTAGTGGCGATGGTGGGACACATAAGTTTTATTTTTTTATGAGCGCCATATTGGTTTTCCCATTTGTGATTTCAACACATTTTCCTGATTAGAGTGATATGTCGTATCATATGTTTTACTTTTTAGTTTCGTCAATACTAAATTATTAGTTTTTCACAGTTCTTTGAAAATAAAACATAACTATTACTCCAATCACACATCATGCATAGTAGGTAATAAGAAAAATATTAACACCAAAGCCTCCTATAAGTATTTGAAAATTGAAAGTTATGTTGGAATATATTGAAGTGTGATATTAATAAAAGCGATATATTATGATAAATCGTATATTCAGATATTTTTCAGCATTTATTTTTAGTAACAATTTCTCTCGTAAAACGGTTTATTTTCCATTGTAATACATAAAAAAATGGGTACATCTCTAAGTTCTACGGTCGCCAATAGAAACCAATCGGTCAAATTCCTCCTTGTATCGTAAATCACAAAAGAGAGCACAAGACATCAATATTAGTTTTTTTTCTTTAATTGTTGTATCCTGTACCCTACAAGCCTACACAAAAAGGGTCACCTTGTAGAGTCTTTTAAAAATCGTTATAGAAATTAGTTTGAGAGAATTTTGACGTGTGTTAAATAGCTTTGATTTACTATAAAAATATTGTTAATACAATTTTAAAATACTTGGCACCTAAAAAACATATACATTAAGTTTAGATTCTGCAAAAATGAGGAATGAGTATGTTTAGTTCCCAAATATGTGCATTGAGTCTATTTAATACCAAAAATATTTAACTTTCATATGTTTTTTACTTATTGTGTTAATGACCTGTACATCTATAAATCCGGATATGCTGTGTATACAGGGTGGTCCAAAATCATTTCCTGATGTTTTCAGGGATAGTTCATAAACAAAAATGGTAGGTACCTTTTTGAATAAATTTATGTCTGAAAATGAGGGGATTGTAGATGTCAGTTTTTTAAATCTTAAGATTTCTTATTTGTATTTTAAACTTAGATTTAGCGTAAGATTATGGACACTATTTTTCGCAATATTATTCAAATACTATATCTTATGAATGGGTAGTTAGAGGGTGACTAGTTCATCTTTTTTATTTTAGAATAGGGTAAAAACAAAAAAATTAGGGTTGAAATAATTGCAGTACCTAATACTATCCCTTGAAATATCCCTTGAGATTTGATAAATTTAAAACATAAAGATATTATAAAAATTATGATGTGGATTATCTCCTTTTAAAAGGGTTTTTTCCTTATTATCCATTTTTTGGAAAGAGTATATTTAAAAAGGTACCCTTATTTTTTTATGTACTATACTCCGTAAAAATATCGGGAAAATATTTAGGACCACCCTATATTATGATAAAGCCTATCTGAGCTTTCAGTTATATAATTGAATTTTCTTTCTCATGGCAAAATAAGTCACATTATGTTCTTTAAAATATTGCATTGATTTTATTTTATTATTGTTATCGATTTGTATTGCAAAAATATGCAAATAACAATTAGAAGATTTGCTTATGAAAATTTGTATGTTTTCAAACCAATTTTGTTACTAAGATGAAAAGAAAAATATAATGTATGTACCTAACGTCAATAAGAAGGGATTAAAGTCGCTGTAATTTTTTTTAGAAAAAATTAGATGAAATGTAACCTTTCGATTTTCTGAAAAATAAATTAATAACTGCGTTATTATAATAACTTATAAATTAATTATGACAATTTTTCAAAATACCGGTTTTCACATTTTTGTAAATAAAACAAATACCTACAAAGGTATAAAATTTTCTTGCTAAGACGTATGCAACAATAATTTTTCTAAAGTAGTTAGATTATTAATAAATAGCTTTATAACTTCTAGTAAGAACCCTATTTGTGCTTAACAGGAAGTTTGGAGACTTAAGGTTGTGAATTGTTTACAGTGATTATCAATAGTTTAAATATTCTCAAGCAAGCTTATCACTTAACAAAATGAGAACATGTGTTTAATTAACAGAGTTATGTAAGAGTTACGTAAGTTTCATGGTTAAGCAGGAAGAGTTTCGAAAGTAATATTTACCTCTACCAAATTTATTTATTGTCACGGTTCCACAGGATTCGAAAATGTGTAGCATACTTTAAAGACGCGATCAGTTATACAGAAGTTAACAGATGTCCGGGTCTGCAATAATTTTTTTCATATATGGCAGATGTGCGTTCGATTTTTGTTATGACGCGAAAACTTTTATTTAAATATTCCTAAGAAAAATGTGTTAGACATATTCATATTTTCCGATTACTAAGCAGACTTATGAAAGCAGATAGTTCCATTCAAAAATGTGTTAATTTTGTTCGCATGGTTTTTAAATAAACGGTAAAAAACTTATTTAACTTTGAAAAATTGTTTGTAAATAAGTGCGAAATGTTTTAGGGGGCGGTTGCCGAAGTTATTTTGTAAAAAAAGTTCATATAAACCTAGGTCGAAATATGCTTCGTTTCCGAGATAAGGTGTGTTTAAATTTTAATTTTTTATTTACTTCTGTGAATTATTTCAGTTTTAAAGATATTGACTAGAAATTTGACGGTTGTATTTTATTTAGAAATATTGACAGCAACCTACTAGATAATGTATTAATAGAAATTAAAAATACACAACTTGCAATAAAATATGCAATATTCCATCCTCGAAAACGGTGCATCCTACGAAAAAAATTGACGTGACCAATTTCATTCAGAATTAATGGCGGATTTCTAAAAAAATATCAAAACGGGAAAAAGTCAGTGGCGTACCATTTTTTTTATTAAAACAAGTTTGTGGCATTTTCGCTCGAACGCCACTGGTGGAAGTAGAAATAGTCAATATCTTTAAAACTGAAACAATTAATAAAAATAAATAAAAAAATTTAACTTAAAGTCCAAGCGTTGACGAGTTGTATGAAGAAAACTAATTTTAACTTTCCTTTCTTCAAAAGAATTGAAAAAAAATTGTTAAACAATCTCAAAAATTGTAAAGCCCTGAGGCTTAAGGCTTAGGTGCTCTTATCGAATAAAAAAAATTAAAATTAAAAATCATAAAAAAATGTGTATCTTTTGTTGCATGTTGACAACATTAACGGTTTTTTAGGAAAAAAAAACATTTATTGTTTTAGGATAAAAACAGCTAAAACTTACACTACGATATAGATTTGAAAGTAATCGTTTGACTGAAAAATAAATATGACAAAATATTATGTAATAAAAAAAAATAAGTATAAGCTTATGTATCTCTTGTAATATTGAAATTCGGGTTTCATCTAATCATTATTGCAAAATTATGGTCAAAAGAAATCGTCTGATAATAAATTTAAATTTAAGGGCATCGGAGCAAAGAGCAACATTCCATACGTCAGTGGCGTGCGGAGTATATAATGCCTTTATTTTAATATTTTCTACACCCATTGATATTTAAATATATCGAATAAACCATTTTTGAATTGCTCGTTCAGATCTGGATAAAACTGTACTGGTTTGTATTAAAGTTTTTAAATTCTGAACAGAAAGAGTAGTAAAAAATTCACTTATGTTTATCAGCTTATCATTAGATTATGTTAATTACACATTAATTGAGATAATTTAGACTTTTCTTGCCCTTCATAAGTTACACAGAAAATATTGAAAATTGCTCATATTTTAAATTTTTATAAAAATGAGATACCGTTGAGAGTAAAAACTCAACAGTTTTCGAAACAGAAGCGATTTTTTGCTTCGTTGTTTTAATTTGTTGTAAGATTTGAAGCAAGATGGAAATTCGAAATGTTAAAACTCAAAAGATTGATCCTAAAAACAGTTAATTGATTATTGAACTAAATGTAATTAAATACTTTTAAGCATCAAAATATACCAAGAATGGAATATTTGGAAACAGACTACGAACTTACGAAGTTTATATTCCTTTTATCCCAACTAGTTTTTTGAATTTTGTTTACTAAAAAATTGATAAGTTTTTCATTAAGTTTAGTCTGAACTGTCGATGTATGAAGAGCAAAACAGTTTAGGTCATGTTTGATCAACCAGTAAAGCTGCGGCCTAACTAGAACGCAGTTTACAACGGTCTGCGCATTGCGCTTCTTGTATATATTAATCTACTTGGGCAATCTCTGTTTACTCCAGTTTAATCATAAACTCGATTTAGATAAATCGTAATTAAATTTCATTTCATAAATCGGCCGACAAGAGTCTATCAATAAGCTGCGATTCTATTCTTAACTGTGTACCTACTAAGGACGACAATGTAACTTTCAGAAACAC